AAATGCATCCTACAAAATTAACCTTTAGACTTGACGTTTTACCTTTTCTTTTTTTTTAGTATGTAGGTTGTTTGTCTCACACTGGTTCATTTTTATCTATAAATCACTCCTTGGTCTGCTGCCTTACATCTTCTCCCATATGTCACATCATCAGTGCAGTTACGGCGTGCGCTCTCAGGGATTCATTACCTGCAGTGTCCCATCAGTGCGAACTGAACTCGGCAAAAAGGCCTTTTCTTCCTCTGCTCCTGTAACCTGGAACACCTTTCAAAAAGATCTGAATCTATTGATTTTAATTTATTTAAGGGATTTTAAACATTTGATAATGTCAATAGAAACATCAAAGCAAACACGTCCTTGTTTTATATGGCATCTTGAGCTGTGCTTGTAACTTCTTTGATTTGATTTTAATAGCTTTTTGTTGAATTATTGTTCTCTGTACTTTATATGTTGTCTGTCTAAACCAGGCCTCTCTTGAAAATGAGTTCTCGTGACTCAAGAGACTACCGTATTTTTCGGACTATAAGGCGCACTTAAAATTCCTTAATTTTCTCAAAAATCGACAGTGAGCCTTATAATCAGGTGCACGTTATGTATTAATTCTGGTTGTGCTTACTGACCTCGAACCGATTTTATGTGGTTATTGGGAATGAGTTGAATACAGTTTGACTTATCTGTTTTGTTTTGCTTAATGCCCCTTATGTATGAAAACAGACCTGTTCATTGATATTGTACCTTATAATCCGGTGCATTTTATAGATAGAAAAATACGGTAATCTGAATAAATAAAGGTTGAATGAATGTGCAGTTCTCTCAATGACTAACTGCAGCACATTGGATTTTTTCTCACCTTTCTCTGTTTATTTTGTCAAGGATCATCATCTTGTTGCGTGATTCAGTTTCAGCCACGCTTCAGCTGTCAGACAGATGGTCTTCACATTTAACACTGAAATACTTTGTAATGTAAAAAAAGTTCATGTTTAACTCAGTGACTGAAATGTGCTCAGGCCCAGACATCATCCTTCCACCTCTTTCACTTGATATCAGGAGTTTATGCTGAAACACTTTCTGGCAGTGTCCACGGACAGTTGGAAGGAATATATCTTGGAGAAGTTGTAAGCTCGACTTCGGCGCAAGTAATTAAATTTGGCTGTTTGGAGTCGCCATGAAAGAATGTACTAGAGAGACTGTAAGGCAGAAATGGAAATTTACGAGTTCAGCCTGACCCAAAACAATGTTGATATCTGAATCTGGACCTGGCCTTGGAAGGCAGACTATCTCAATTCCTCCTTGAATGTTATGGAAACCAAGACGCTCTGTGCCCCTCCCTACCCCCACCTGTCCCCAAGGTCGTGGACCTGTGACAGAGCTCATCTGAGCTATCGACAATGCCCAGACAAGGAAGAAGACTTACAAACAGACTTAAATACAGACATAGTAATGAAACAAGTGCCTACACCTGTGGAGCATCACAGGTGTAGGGAGACAGAAAGAGAGCAGGACAGAAACACAACACATGAGGGCACCACCCCCATAATGTAATTGAATTTGCTTTAACAAAGAGTGATGACAACAGTAGGCAATTATAAAAAAGTAAATAAATTGAAAAAAATAAATGTAAGGAATGATGTAAAAAAAAAAACAGCTACATTAGAAATATATATAAAATATTAAAACAGGAACATGTCTGTGTTGATTTATTGAAGGGAAGAGACACAGCAATAACCCACACTTGAATGACCAGAATAGATTTGGTTGTTTTTTATAGTCACTTCCTCTTTTTCTTTTGGCTTTTCCCTCTTTAGGTGTCTCCACAGCGAGTCATCCTCCTCCATCTCACTCTGTCCTCTGCATCCTCTGTCCTCACTCCAACTACCTCCATGTCCTCTCTAACTGCATCCATATATCTCCTCTTTGTATTTTTCCTGGCAGCTGCATTTCTAACATCCTTCTACCAATATACCCACTGTCCCTCCTCTGGACATGTCCCTCTTTTGGACATGTCCAAACCATCTCAGTCTGGCCTCTCTAACTTTATCTCCCTGTTGTTCAAACTGTGCTGTACCTCACACCTTTTTTTGTTTGTATATTTTAAGATCAGTTTTGTGTGTGTGTGTGTGTGTGAGTTTTGTGTGTGTGTGTGTGTGTGTGTGTGTGTGTGTGTGTGTGTGTGTGTGCGTGCGTGCTATGGGGTGCCGTTTGTAAAGTTACACAGTCAAAAATTAACATAAATATTTTGGTTTATTTATCCTTTCATTAATTTTTTTTTTTAAAGTGTTGTTTTTTTTTCAAAGTCACATTTTCACCATGTCATTCATACATTTATAAATGTCATAGTTCCAAACTAAATATTTAATTTACAAGCTAAATATTAAATTTATAACCTAAACATTTAATTCCTAAACTAAATATTTAATTTGCTAACTAAATATTTAGCTCAATCCTAAATATTAATTTTCCAAGCTAAACATTTAATTTCCAAAATAAATATTTAATCTGCTAACTAAATATTTAGCTCAAACCTAAATATTTAACTTGTTAGCTAAATGTTTCGAGCTAAATATTTAGTTAGCAAATTAAATATTTATTTTGCAAATAAAATGTTTAGCTGGGAAAGTAAATATTTAAGTCTGAGCTAAATATTTAGTTAGCAAATTAAATATTTAGTGTAGGAATTAAATGTTGAGCTAAGAAATTAAATGTTTAGTTTGGAAATAAATATTTAGCTTGGACAATAAATATTTAGTTTGGAAAGTAAATGTTTAGGTTTGAAAAAAATATTTAGCTTGGAAATTAAATGTTTAATTTACACCTAAATATTTAGTTTACTAAATATTTAACTTGCAAGTTAAGTATTTAGTTTGTAAAGTAAATATTTAGCTTGGAAATTAAATATTTAGTTGGGAACTATGACATTTGTAAATGTATGAATAACATGGTGAAAATATGACTTTGAAAAAAAACGTTCTTTTCTTATTAAAGGCTAAATAAAACAAAATATTGTTAATTTTTGACTGTGTAACTTTACAAACGGCCCCCCTTAGTGTCCATCGTCTAAATATTCTCATTGATCTATTATCTATTCTCATATAAAACACAATTACATTACCCATGTTTATACTTCTATAAAAAAAAACTATGTTAAAGATGGTAAATAACAATATGAACTTATAGTCGACTTTTTGTTTCTTAATAAAAGTTTACTTAAAATGGTTCTTTTGGAACACTTTACTGTTTACACCAGCTCATATGAACACAACAGAATGAGCAGGAACGACCTAAAGAAATCTGCAGGTGGTGTCACAAACATCACAATTTGTTTGCAAAGGCACTTAAAAAAAAGGAAAACATTTTCTGTGAAAAGTTTTGCTTTTCTTAAAAGGAGGAACTGAAATTTATGGGTCATTGAAAAGATAGTTTCTAAAAGAGCAAACAGAGCTGCTTTGAGAAAGCAGAGGCTTAAAAGGTATTCCCTAAAGACAAGATTTAGCTCAGTGTCTGTAAAAATGGCTGAGCTATCAGCATTTTATTTATTTCTAATGATAGCTGGATGTTGTGGACACTTTAAATTCAAACATTAATCAGTTGTACATGTAAACTCAATGTTGACCCTCTATTATTCCATTAAAATCCATTCAAATTAGGGATGTATACGATATTATCGGCATGGTATCGGTATCAGCCGATATTAGCGGTAAAGTTTAATATCGGACATCGGCCATTCCATCAAAATAACTTATAAAAGACGCTGTTTTTTAAAGTGTTAAATCATCTTCAGTCACCTTTTTAGCATCTGCATTTGGTAGCAGGCCAAATTGACAAAGATCATGCAGAATAATGTAGAATTTTAATTCCACAGCAGAGAAAGTTATTGTAAGTAGGTATGGGGGAAAATATCGGTATTGGTATCGGTTATCGGACAAATCAATTTTAACATATCGGCATATTCATTCATTCATTCATTCATTTAACTTTATATCGGATATCGGCCAAAAATCCAATATCATCCATCCCTAATTCAAATGGCTTGTGACATATTTTGCTAACATGGCAAACAAAACCCCACAAATAAACAAACCAAAACATTACTGACCTCTAATCTTTGGCGGTGGGTGACAATGAACAAGTTGCTGCAAAGCTTACCTGTATGTGAGAGGGACAAAGGTCAAACTCTAATTTAATATTTAACTTCATATCATATTTATATAATAATCCATTGCTTTTTTTAACCAGGGTTCAATCTTAAGCACTTTTTGTGCTCAGTCTAATTATTTGCAGCATAAGATCTGACATAAAGAGTGGGCGAAATAGGACATTAAATTGAATCTGGTTTTGAGAAGCTGAGAGTTGAATTAAAGTGATAGAAGAATTTGATTTCCACCTAAAATCCTTTCATTAATTCAACTTTTCTTTATACAGTTCGTCTCATTGAGTCACAAAGACTCATTTACAAGAGAGACCTGTTTTAGACAAAAACCATAAATGAGCTACACACAATAAACATTCATGTAAAAGCATATAAAATGAAAAGTAAATAAAAGAAGTGAAAACATCCTACATTATAAAACGGTGTACTGTAAAATACTAAAAACAGGAACATGTCTGCATGTTCCTGTTTATTTATTTACTTATTTATTTATGCAAATTCAGGCCAGACATTTTGGCAGTGGAGTTGACACAAGGTTGTTGCATACACAGTGACTTTTTTAGTTTTGAAAAAGAGAAGAAGAAAAAAACATTTAGGGCTAAGACGTGGAGCACTTTAAGAGAAAAACTACAGCACGTGTGAAAAATACAACTATAAAAAAAATTAAAAAAATCTGTTTCACTTCATGAGGAACTGACATGTCTTCTGTACCTCTGCAATACGGAACAGACTTCTTATCAAATTAGTATGATTTTCTAAAAATCTGGTGGGTGGGGGCACAGCTGGACCACATCAGATATAAACTGCTGTTGCAGAGACGTGGGGAGAAAACAGTTTCAACACGACGCCTGAAGACAGCTTAGGATGGCCATGTTCATGTTAACGTTGCTCCTCTCAGCTGGTCTTGAATGCTTTGGTAAGACACAAAAAAATATTATAAATCATTACAAAATCTAAATGTAATTCATTTCCTTAGAAAAGATTTTAATGGAAAAACTGTATCCTTCAGCTCTGACTGCAAACAATGAAATGAGTGATTTGCTCGTTTCTCCTGACATCGTGGAAGTGAGTGATGATTTTTATTTTCTTCTACTTTGAAGATGTTGTGCTTTTGAGAACTAAATGAGAAATTTCACACCCTTTTGTGCAATATATATTATTTAAAGTTCCTAAAGTAATTGCATCGTTACTATAAGCATAGAGGACCAAACCCAACGTCCATAAGGTTCATGAGAAATTAACGCATAAAAGCAATAAAGTGCTAAATTATTTTTGAATTTATTACCGTGTTGTTTATTACTGAAGGACAATATGGCATTTAAACACCAGTATCCACATTAATATTAGACATACATAATTGCTTCAAGTGAAACTGATCTATTATGATAGTTGAACGATAATTGTATCATTTTTCAAACATTTCATTTTATAATAATTGTTGTCATATTTAATATTCAGACTGGAGATGTTTGCAAGGACTGCACCCAAATATTGGAAAGTCTAGATGACCTGCTTTCCAATGCAGACCTACAGGTGAGTACGTTTCATTTATTCCTTATTTGCACACTAAAAACTGCTGGGAATAAAACAACCCAGTTTGTAGCACTGGATCAAATCTGAATGGAGCCAAACCTGGATTATTTTAATTTAGCTGGGTTATTACCGGTAAATTGACTAAGTTAAATTTTTTTCATCCCAAAATTTAGCTAAAAGTTACAAATTTGTTGAATAAGAGCTACTAAAAGTTGAGCTACAAGATAAAATCTGGGTTATTAAATGACCAGTTAGTGCTGGTGCAAACAGCTAGAGCATCAACTAACCTTAATTTATGAATTACCAAACTCTAATTGTTTTTACTGTTCTTCACTTTTTCCAAGCAGAGAACAGGCAGGTTTGATTTAGTCAAACTTCTTGCCTAAAATAGCAGATTATGAGGAATGACACAGCTCACCTGGGTCAAACTTATTAACCCAGTATTTGGTAAAACCAATCCAACCTTTAACTCAGCAGTTTTTAGTGCAGCACTACTCAACTGGCGGCCCAGGGGCCAAATCAAGCCCACGGATTAACTTAGTTTGGCCCACCAATGGGTTCATTTTTAAATAAAACTAGATTTTAAACCATAAAACAAACTTACTTAATGACAATAACTGCTGGATGTCTGGCCCCTGAGCTCTTGGCTTTCAGTAACTGTGGTTCCTTGAGCAATTGAGTTGAATAGCCCTGTTTTAGTGCATTTACAGATAAGTTAAGTATTAACAAATACACCAGTGGTTCCCAGCTCTGGTCCCTGAGGAACACCATCCTGCATGTTTTAGTTGTGTCTCTGCTCCAACACGCCTGATTCAGGGATTTAATTACTTCAAGTTCTGCAGAGGCCTGTTAATCCCAAATTCATTCAAATCACATGTGTCAAAGCATGAAAACAACTAAAACATGTAGGATGGTGTTCCTCAAGGACCAGGGTTGGGAACCATTAAAATACACAACAATATTTACAGCCTGGGCTGATTTACAGTGCATATCTCCAGATAGACTTTTAGTATACTGTATATAAAAAAAATGGATTGAAACATTACCTTTATTAAAACAATGCAGGAAAACAAATCACAATACCGTTAAAGGTGTGGCAGTTATTTGTGATTGATAAATGGGTCATCCTCTGGAAATAGTGTCTGTCTTAAATTAAAATGATGCTGGTCAGAAATCATTTTTAGATCTGCAGGTAGGGAGTTCCCTTTGACAGAAAAGCCCAGAGAATAATGGTAGGACACCTAAAAGTGCTCACATGTTACCAAACATGTGGCTCTGACCAACCAGGAAGTCAATAAGCACAATTTAAGCTTTTCTAAAAAGTGTAAAATCAAAGAATTTTACTATTATTTTTAAGTTCATCATATCCAGTTTTTTTAGAAGATGGCAGCGATGATGTCAGAAGGTTTTCTGTCTTAAATCTTAATCACTTGGTTCTTCATCACCCTTAGAGGCTTGAATGGGAAAAAACCATTGAGTGCATGAAACTATTTAAAATGGTAAATAGTCTCTAAATAATCCAATAATGGTGGAGTATGTTGTAAACACATACCTGAGTGTTTGTGTTTGCCTTCTGATAATTTTATCAGTTCTGATTTAAGTACACTTTAGGAAGTCATGATCGAAGCTGCTAATATCTGCGGCGGAATAGTTGTGATTAAATACAATAAAAGAAAGTTAATTTACACTGCTGTTATCAGCTGAAGCACATTTTTCAAATTCATTCATGCAAATCATTGGCGTTCTATCAAACTGTACGTGTTTGAAACAGAAAAATACAAACTTCCTGTTCTTCACTTCCTTTTTTTTAACGCCAAACTAAAGGTGAAATGAAGTTTTCTTGTTAGTTTTGATTTCTACCTCATTTTGAACATCCTCTATTTATGTTGTTTTGTTCCAACTTGTTCTGCTTTTTGGATTTAAATCCTTATTAGGCTTCAATAACTAATCTGTTTTATATATATCATTACCTCATCAATAAATTTAATAAATCAATAAAAAATAGCTAAATCTATTGCAGTACTATATAAAAGTAAGGGAGTTATTAAATGATAAAGCTCTGTATATGTTGTATAACACAATACTTGTTCCACACTTAATCTACTGTATTGATGTTTGGGGGAAAGTGTGTAAAACAATTACAAATCCTATTTTTGTTTTCCAGAAAACAGCTGTAAGAATTATTAACAGGAAGCATTTCAGTCACCCATCAAGTACTTTATTTTATCAACTGAAGTTATTGAAGTTTCATGATTTGGTAGATTATAATATTTTATCAGTTATGTATAGGGCTCGTAATAATATATTACCTTTAAATATCCAAAGATATTTAGTTAAAAGAGAGAGTTGTTATAATCTTAAGGGGATAGAAAGATTTGTGAAACCTAAATTTCAAACAAGTTTTGAAGGAACGATCTACTTTAATCCAAGGAATTAGATTGTGGAATAATCTGGACTGTGATGTTAAAAATGTCAGATCAATGTGCATGTTTACGAGAATGATCAAAGTTGGTTTGTTAAAAAAATATATGAAATAGCTCAATGTGCATCTTTATGAATTGTTGCTCAAAAAGGAGTTAATTATTTAGTTTTTTGTTATTTGAAGATTATTATTATTTGAAGTTGTTTTTTGAAAAAAGGGGCAGATATAATAAGATTTTTTTCTTCTTTCTGCTGCCTTTCATTTTATTTGTGATTGTATTTCTTATTGTATATAGAATTGGTTGGTTTTATTTTAATAGAATGAATAAACTTTAAAAATAATAATAAAATTTCAAGAATCTGGATAAATCTCTGAGCTTACACATCAAGTCTGAAAGTATAAAATACTCCTGATCTTCAGGGCCTCAGTCGACATTATAAACTGGTTTGATTCTGTTCTGGAGATCACTGCATGGGTTTAAAATTGTTTTTAGAAAACACAGTGATCCTCTCTAATGAGGAAAGGGACGTTATGCATGATATCAGCACAAAATTCAAAAGCCGGCCTCTCTGATGGTATGGGGATGTATCGGTGCCTTTAGCATGGGCAGCTTAAACATCTGGAAAGACACAGTCAATGCAGAAAACTGTATTCAGGTTTTAGAACAGAAGATCCTGTACAGCAAATAAAAAAAATTTAAAAAATCAGTCAAAGAAGACATAGAGCTATTGAACAGCTAGATCAGACAACAAAGGGACTCCTTTCCCACCAAAACCTCCAACAACTGGTCTCCTCAGCTCCTAGATGTTTCCAGACTGATGTTAAGAGGGACGCCTTCACAGCGATAAGCATGACCCTGTCCCAACTTTTGTTTTTAGATGTTTGCTGCACTTGATATGTTACACTCTAAAGAAAATATGGGTTTATGAGATTTGCATATATATATTTTTAATTTTTTTTATTTTACACAGAATCCCTTTTTTTTTTACATTTGATGTTATAAAATAGCCAAGACACTATGCTGATGTATGCTTGAGATTTTATTAAGATGTTGTTTTCAGCACAACATTTTGGAACTTCACCATCTTTATAGGGTGGTAATGAGATGTTTCTATGTATATAAACAATTTTGTGTAGCTCAGAAATTTTATTTTTTTTCTGTTTCGTATTTAATGGCTAAGCTAAGCAAAAGGGGAGAATGTTGCACTTATCCCCAAATCAAATTTCTTGTCCTTTTATTCCAGAAAAAGATCCTGGAGGGCATTGATAGTTTGTGCGCTCACCTGCCCGAGCCGGCTGCTAAAATCTGCAAAGACGAGGTGGACAAGATGCTGCCTATAGCCATCACCTTCGTTACTGGAATGGCCGTAAGTTGGAGGCCTGATATGAATTAATGAAGCTACAGAGAGACTTATTCTCAACGTGTTTTCTTTCCATGTTATAGAAACCGGCAGTGGTCTGCAAATTGATCGGGCTCTGCAGCTCCGGAGACAAACAAGACAAAATGCTCAGCTACTTTGTTACTGAGGCTCTTCAGGCTGCGGTGAAAAGTGAACATGTCAGTTCTGTTTAGAGACACATAAAGAGGGATGGTAAAATATGATCTCTTAAAATAAATTCTCCCTATTTTTCTATCAGGGCAAGCCTGCAGCCTCATGCTCCTTCTGTGTTTTCCTCATCAAGACTTTGGAGGATCTGCTGCCAAAAGAGAGAACTGAGGTCAAGAAACATGTCGCTTTTCCATTTGTGCTGCAGCTGACATTTATCTGACTTTGTATTTTACATCCTACATCTCCAGGATGCTGTGATCAAACTGCTGGAAGAAATCTGCCACATTCTGCCTTCGTCCTACCGTGGCCAGTGCGAGGCAGTCGTTGGCAAGTTTAGCAAGTCAGTGCTGGATGCAATCATCAGCTACGCCACCCCCGAGACCATCTGTGCCCTCATCCACTTGTGTAAAGGCCAGGAGGCTCTTGTAGTGGGTCAGTCTACAGTTTCCTTAATTTAAAATTATTATTTTTTAAACTAGCAGGATGTTCTGAAGTTGAACTGGCCCCAACTATAAATAAGATCATTAAATACATTCAATACATTAAACAGGATTTTATAAAACTAATTTAGTTTTCTAAAGTGATCACAACTGCCTTTAAATAGGTTTAACGAACTGTAACTAAAACTTTGCTCATTAAAGTCTGATTTACCCTTTGTTGTTAAATGAAATATATAACTGTAGAAAACATGAAATTAAAACCACTAATACACAAAGAGGTAGACTAGTAGAACAGAACATTCCCAGTTGATTACAAGTGCTAAAAAAGAATATCTACCTTCTTCCATTCGAATGAGGTGACAAATATGTATTTAAACAGTTTGTACTCTTATTTAAAAGGAAAAAAACCTGGAAGGGACAAACTCTTCAAATTCAAATCTAATAAAGTAATAATGTTGTTGTAGTACTTAAATGATTAAATGTAGAAGTTAAAACATTCAGCGCTAAAGAAGATAATATTGTTGTACTTATCTTAAGTGCAAAATGTTTTAACGTCTACATTTCATACTTTCACTGACGCGTGTAAACGCGTGTAAACAAGACCCACTTTAATAATTTACTCCATTTTAGGCAGGGCATAAGCAAGCCAAGGCATAAGCAGCTGCTTAGGGCCCCGGGGCCACTAAGCATTGAAAGGTTAACGAGTTTAAAACCCAACTTTAGTTTTGTACTTGCAGACCCGTGCACGCAACCAGAATACAGATGCAGAGACATCAGGACCGCCCTCAGATGTAACGTAAGTAGCCAGCTCTCAAATTAAAAGAGTACAAATATGTTGATAACGTCTCCAACGTCTGTGCAGACTCTTTTCTACTGTCAGAAGTTCACCTGGAAGCCCATGAGCAACATTTAAAATGTACGGTAAGTCAAATCTAAAGGACAAATATTGGTGAAACAATTGATAAACGGCAACAAAATACGTTCTGAAAGTTTCCATGTCACGTTTTATAGGTTTGGACAAAGAACCTGGGTCAAGCTGCAAATATTTCTCCCTGACAGCATTTTCTTTTTAAGCCTTATTTAGTATCTTAAACACTTTGCTACACAATATACAAAACTGTCTGCATGGAGCGAATAAATCCAACAAAAGGATTATTTGGACTTGAGCTGTAAAGGAATGCTGCAGATACGAGTGTTTTATTAAATTCTTCAAGTTAAGCCATTATACTGCAAACATGCACAAGTTTTTATTCTTCTTATCAAGTTCAGCAGCTTCTGTAAAGTGTAATCTTCAGCACACAATAAAATATGCGAGTAGGCTGGAACATGTTATTTAACAGCTCTGTTCACAGATGAATACCTTCTGAAAATAAAAACTTTAAATATTTTGTATTTAAGGTGAGCATAAAGTGTTTTAAATCAAGTTTAGTGTGATGAGTATTTTTTTAAACCAACAGAAAAAGAAGAAGTACAGTAATAGTGAAATTCAAAATAGAAGGTAATTTTGTTGCTGCCTTGGTTTTATTTTCTACTTGAGGAAATGGCCTTCAACACAGTCCCACTTCTGCTTTCACATCCTTTTTCTACCTAAATCTACCTACGATTCGTCACCAGTACAAGGACATTTGTGTTTGGATCAAATAAAGCAAGATTTACTCTAACGAGGTTGAGTCAGGTCGGGTCTTCTGGACGGATTCTTCTTTGTTGAATGTTTCGCCTTTTATCCAAAAAGTCACTTTTTCATTTATCTTTTGGAAAAAAGACAAACGTTTCAACAAATTAGGACTCGATTCAACCTTGTTAGATTCATCTACCTGGATTATTGTGCATGCATCAAAAGATTTCACTTGTATTTTTCAATAAAAACCAAAAAGGACCAGCATATTAGCACAAAGCAAGCGGGGAGATTTTATTCCAGCAGTTTAAAAAGAAAATGTAACATCAAATCAGGTCAGACTCAACAGTACTTAATGAGTAGGGACATTTAACAAGGGGAAAGGGTGAAAAAGTAAGGAGTGTGAATGAAAAGGCACTTTATACGCTAAAAATGACTCCGTTTGCACTGCAGACCATGAAAACAGGCTGGTTTCTCTGTACAACACCAACCAATTCTTTATCTGAGCTGTGGGCGAGTTGGAGGGAGCAAATATACTGTTAAAAAATAAAAAAAAATCTGAGTTGAAATAATATCACTAGATAACTCCAGGATGGGTTTGAGTAAACTGAAGTGTTACTGTAGTACACAGAAAAATCCACAAGGTGGCGCTGCAGAAGCAAAGCTTAAAAAAGTATTTTTTTGTTGTTGGGCCACATAGCTACTTAGGAGTACTGTATAATGCAGAACAGCACAAAATACTGAGTATTTTGGAATATAGTGGCGTATTTCTTAAATATGGAAGGAAAGTTACTGACAAGGGCGAACAGGGTGATGTTTGAGCATCAACTATGGATTTCCACAATATTTTTTTAATCTTGGCAACTGTAGCAAACCCTGAAGAGTTTCTATGAACAACAACAAAAAAAAAAGAAAGTAATTCAATAAATTCAATCTAAAGAGCAAACATAAAGCACAGCTCAACATTTATCCAGCTCAGAAGCCTGTTCCACTCCATACAATCACTTCACCGACTGTGCTGCTTCTGCTCTTCATCGTCCTTCATACCCGTCCATCCTACGTCCTGGTCAGACCGACGATGGGAGGAAACTGAAGAGGAGTTCTGCTCCGCTCAACCAACTGTTAGGTCCCACAGCAATCAAACAACATATGCACAGTTGCAATCAGATAAAAGCAGCTCCATTTAGGAGGATACAGAGCTGTCTTTATAACTACATCAAATCACTCAATACAGGAAAAAAAACAGATTATCTCATTCTTGGTCAGAACACAGACAGGATTCATCATAATTTAGAGCATCCACATGACATTTCAACCTACAAAATAAATTACATAAAAATACAGGAACCGTGGCGCAGTCCAATAAAACCATAACGGCATTAGCAGCTTCTGACTTCTCTGTAAAACGTCAGAATAATAATGGCCTGAAGGGACTGCACCAGCAGCAAAACAACCAAATAAAAAAGTACTTTGTTTGTGCCATAATATCAAAGAAAGGAGCGCGAGTTTTCACTTTGCTAAATAGAAGACATTTACAGAGAACGCAAAGATTGAACGTGAGAAAACTGCTCACTTCTACACACTGCAAAGTCTCAGCATTTAATACTTTTTACTGTGGAAGAGTTTAGATTCAAATCTGTCATAAATATAGTAATTGTCAACTGGTGGCTAATGCAGCTGAGGGTGTTGGGATGTAACCATGTATGAGGAGGAAAGGAGGAGAGGACGAACACAGGTTTACACCCGACAGGTGCGAGCGGAGAGCAGGGTTCAGTATTTCAGCTTCTTGGGGATCTCCCATGGAAAGATGTCGCGACCAAAGTGACCGTAAGATGCCGTTCGCTGGTAGATGGGCTTCTTCAGGTCAAGATCCCTTAGTCATAAATATAACAAACAAACAAAAAGTTAGGAATTAGGTCAGAATTTATGCTCGGGTCAACAATATTAAAATAATCTGACTACTTCTGTGTGATTTTGTTTAAACTCTGTATGTTTTAAACTCAATATACTTGGAAAAACTCGTCATGACCCACATCAAAACCACCAACATCAACGAGGACCCTCATCAGTACGCACACCGCGAGAATCAATCAACAGAGGATGCCATCTCCTCTGTGGGCCACACTGCTCTCACCCACCTGGAGCAGGACTCCTACATCTGTATGCTCTTTGTGGACTTCACGTCTGCTTTCAACACCATGATCCCCCGAACATAAGAGGATCTGCAGTGGCAGTGGTCTCCAGCTACAAGTACTTGGGTGTGCACCTGAATGACAACCTCAGCTGGAGCAACAACACCACCAGCCTGAACAAGAGAGCTCATCAGACTCTACTTCCTCAGGCGGCTGAGACGAGCTGGTCTGGGAAGCTCAGTCCTCACCTCCTTCTACAGGTGTGCAGTGGAGAGCGTCCTGTGCTCCAGCATCAACATGTGGCACGGAGGCTGCACAGAAGTCTGTTGGAGTCAGCCTCTCCACCATCACAGACATCTACACCTCAAGATGCAGGAAGAAGACCACCTGCATCATGAAGGACCCCACATACCCAGCACACAAACTTTTTGTCCTGCTCCCCTCAGGCAGGATGTTGAGGAGCATTAAGTGTAGAACCACTCGAATGAGGAACAGCTTCTACCCTGAGGCTGTTGGACTCATGAATCTCTAACCAGAATAATCACTGTGAAAAAAAATCACATCATGTTGCTGCTGATCTGTTTCATGTTGCTGCTGATCTGTTTCATGTTGCTGCTGATCCGTTTCATGTTGCTGTGTTCATGCGTGCTCATCTGCTCACACGGACTCATGTTCGTGCTGCTGTTCGGCGTATTGTTTTTATGCTATTAGTGCTTAGCGTATTTTAGTTGGCGTATTTCTTAGTTCATATCTTAGATCTTATTATGGTTTTTCTTTGTACATTTTATTGTTGGATGTAACTGGGACCCCAAATACACAATTTCGTTCCACCACATGTACCACAAGATGCAAATGACAAAGAAACTCTGGCTCTCTCTTACTCTCTGCAGCCAATAGTGGAGGAATCTTTATTTCCTCATGAATCGATGATGAAATGTTATATTTGTACAGATGATGCTTTAAATCAGAACAGTCTAACACTTTAGTCTGGTCATTTACTAAAAGATGTTTTTTTTTTTTAAGCCAAACAGGTTTAAATTTGACACCAGTCCCTTGTCTGGTAAAGATTTCTTCATCCTTTAGATGAAACTTGGCCTCCATAGTTCTTGTTACTAAAAACGTTGCTGTCCTCCTGTAATGGCATTCTGCTTTCTGAGGATCACTTATTTTAGTTTTCATCAGCACTTAAAAATAGCAAGAAACCTATAATGTTTGGGACATCTAATGAATCAGAATATTTCTAAAGCTTCAGGATCTGCATCATTTGACCTTTTCTAATAAAACGCTAAATCCCATTAAAAGTTGCTGAAAATTATTTTTTCATGTTCACATTACAGAAATTGTATTGGGCTGGGTTAGAGTGAAAAGAGCAGTTCATCGTTAGCTTTCTGTCTTTTGCAGAACAACTTCATGTCACAACGGAGGACAGTTTACCTCACGATAACTCCTGGACGGAGGTCAAAGTTCTTCCTCACAATGTCCAGTAGCTCTTTTTCGGTCTTCTGGGAGGTACCGTAGTGGAAGATGGAGACAGACAGGGGATGGGACACTCCAATAGCATAGGACACCTAAAACAAGTAAAGATTAAAAGATTTCCAACCTTGTAAATCTTTACAACAGATTGATAATCCAATAATTAAAGACTAAGAAAATTTGGTTCATTTCTTTATCATCTGTCAGCATATGTCCCCGAGTAAACAAACAAGATAAATAAAATGTACAGCTCACACTCTACAATGCTCAAGTAACAATAAAGTATTGTCAAAGCACACACATTTACACACACACTGCTATGTGTACCGTCACATCATGTAGGTGCGAGACGTGTCCTCACCTGGACCAAGACACGTCTGCAGAGTCCAGCTTTGACAAGAGATTTCGCCACCCAGCGAGCGGCGTACGCTGCAGAGCGGTCCACCTTTGTGTAGTCCTTTCCAGAAAAAGCTCCACCTCCGTGCGCTCCCCAGCCTCCATAGGTGTCCACAATGATCTTACGTCCGGTCAGACCTGCATCGCTCTTTTAGGGGGGGGGGGGGGGGGGGATAAACACAAACTTTAGGAACATTTGAAATCCAAACACTTTAAACAGAATCATGTACAACAAACACGTGAAATGTTAATAGTCTGAACGCATTAAATGATAGAACGCTATATAGAAGCAAACTACATGTGCTCCTTCTCTCACCTGTGGACCTCCAATGACAAAGCGACCACTGGGCTGCAGGTGGTAAATGGTATCGTCATCCAGGTACCCAGCAGGAACCACGGCTTTCACCACCTGCTCCTTCAGAGTGTGACGCATCTCCTCCAGACTTACACTCTCATCATGCTGCACGGAGATGACAATCGTGTGGACTCGCAGTGGCACCACAGCTCCTCTGTCCTGCCGGTACTGAACCGTTACCTGAATGGAAAAAACAAACAAACAAACAAAAAAAAGACAAAAAGGTGTAAGGGTTAAGTTTCCCGTAGTTTTAATTTCTTTAAAGTGAATATATCAATAATCTGAGTAATGTGAGCTGTATAATATTAAGATTAAGATATAAAAACCTAAAACTGAAAAGGTTCAGTGGTGAAAAAATGGCCGATCACCGTATAATTATCAAAACCCTGCGTGACCCCACCCCCCACAGAATTAAAGATATTCACTCCCTAATCACAAATTGAGGGTTTGATAATAAAACAAAGGGAATGATAATTATGCTGGGACATTTGTGAATAGACAAAAATCAACATTAGGCTTAAAAACCTGAATTCAGGCAACAAACTTACACTAAATTACTGTATTTTCCACCGTACACGTCGCACCGCCTTAAAAGTCGCAAGTGGAAAAAAACAATAAGTCGCTTTTATGTATAAGTCGCATCTATTATGCATCACCGCTGACAACCCGGAAATGTGGGCCTGTGTTGTGCCCCCAAAAAATAAAAATAAAAAATCGATTGGCCGCCAAATGGCAGCTGTGGGAGCGTGCACGGGAGGACTTTAACAAGAATTTAACAAGTTTTTAGTATTCTACACCGCCTTGTAATCTAACTGTTTTCTCGCTAAATTTCTTTCTCCTTTTAATTATTATGTTTTTAATTGTAAAAAAAAAAAAATTTTAAAAATTGTATGAATCATTTGTGAATGTCTTGTTGTCGTCGTTATCCACTGTTGTCATCACTCCTTGTTAAAATCCAGGTCTCTCTTGTAAATGAGTCCTCGTGGCTCAGTGGGACTAACCTATCTAAATAAATGTTGAATGAATGAAAAAAGATCAACACTTAAAAACAATTATTTGCTCGAAATTATAGTAAAAGTTGTCTCAGTCTAACTTTTCCTTAATAAATGCACTTGATGGTCAAATCAGCTGAATTTTAAAAGCCGATACGCAGAAGTAAGAGCATGCACGGAAGGACTCACTGTGCATTTCTGTTAAATTTAACAAGATAACCACATAAAAACAATTATTAGTTTACTCCACTTTACAGTAAAGGTGTGTCTCAGTTGAACTTTTACTTAATAAATACACTTCAGTGGTCAAATCAGCTTCATTTCGCCGGGGAGGCGCGGCAAAATGAAGCTGATTTGACGTTTGCTCCAGGCGACCTGAACGAAGATGGCAGCATGGCAAGCTGATTGCGTCATCAACAACCACGTTTACCTATTACATGACACAACGGCATGCCATACAACTCAAGCTCTATAGGCTTAAAATGGTAGTGTTCAATATTTTCCAGTCAGAATGAATGAAAACAGTCAAATCTCAACCAAAAATTGGTTTATAAATATGGGAAAAAATTAATTAATAAGTCGCTTAGGCGTTTAAGTCACAGGGCATGCAAATTATGTAAAAAAACTGTGACTTAAAAGGCAAAAAACAAACAGTAGTAACAATTCAGAACAATCGCACTGAAAAAAACTGAAACCATATGAATGTTAAAATGTTATTTACATCAGTTGTAAATCTAATGAAATGAGTCTTCAAAAGGTAAAGTGTAATAAAAAATGCTTTTAGAAAAGAGATATAAATTGGAGAGAGCATGACATGTATTTTTAAAAAAAGGTCATTTTATATTAAAAGCTAAACATGGCTAATGCAGGTTATATATAAATGTAAGGAAGAAGCTGACAAAATTTGTAGGAGAAAATGTAAAAGCTAGACAGAAATAAAATAAAAGAATAAACAGAAACATAGTTCAGTGTTTAAAGTGATGTAATTCAGGTGGTTAAAGAAAAACAAATGCAGTTTTTCTTTGACAGATTTTGGAAAGGTTGCTGTGCTGACAAACGTTTTCCTTGTTTAACCTGCGTTTTGGAATCGGGTCGGATCCACGGCAGCGATCCATCTCGACGCAGTTCCGCCATCTTGGCATTGAGCTTGTGAGCCAAGACGATGGTGAGGGGCATGCACTCCTCGGTCTCATCGGTGGCGTATCCAAACATGAGACCCTGTTAGGAGAGATGCGGAGACCGGTTACAGGAGACACAAAAATAAAATTATCAATTTATCAGACATTTCTGGTTTCAGTCTATGAGCTGCAGATCGAACACAAACCTGGTCCCCAGCGCCTACGTCCTCTTCTTTACGGTCCAGGTAAACTCCCTGAGCGATGTCCGGAGACTGCTGCTCCAGAGCCACCAGAACATTGCAGGTCTTATAGTCAAAACCTGTGAAACATGATAATGACCTTTAAGAAAGAAACTAATTTATAAAAAAAATGAGTTTAAATTGTAATCAAAGCGTTCTGATCCTGTGTGATTTTGTGCCAATTTGTCTAAAATTACAGGCTGGCTCTGACATCTTATTTTGTTGATGTGATGAAAGTGGTGCTGTGTGCTGACCTTCAGGGAGCTCCCAAAATCTCAGCATCCCCAATACATTCTCTGGGGGACAGTGAAAATAATAATAAAAAACTTTTTTTTTAAAAACTAAAATATGTCTTATTTTTTTGTAATGTACCCGTTTTGTGCAGCAGCAGGCAAATACATTTCACTGAACCATCTTGAAATTATTCATAATAGTAGTCCCTCGCTACTTTGCAGTTCGTTTTTCACGGACTCACTCTATCGCGGTTTTTCAAAATAAGATTGGACATGACACACAACTGGCTGATTGATGGATGAGCTGCACAATCAGTAAGGAATTTTAATTTAAATTAAATTATTTAGCACTTTTTGTGCAGCCCATACTGCAGGATAAGCTTCCTGCTGCAGCTGATCAGCTGTCCTCCATGCAGAGCAAAGAAGTGGGCGTGGCCAAGAGCGTTTGTAGGTGGCTTAAGAGTAGAGGAGGCAGGGAGCTGAAATCAAGACATTCTGTGCTCTTTTAGAGCTTTAGAGTTTAGAAACATTGTTTAAAATATTGCAAAAAAAATAAATAACTGATGATTTATTTTAGAAAAAGTCACTTTTAAACTTCCACACTCATTTTACGTTCATTGTACGTAAAAATCTTTTTATTGTTCGTTTTGTTTTATAGTATTTCTAACACATTTGGGAGGAGTTTTGTAACTGAGAAAATCCTAAAAATAGAAATTTGCATTCAAAATTGGAAATTTATTTTTGTCTCTTTGCTAGGAGACGTCTTTTATGCAGACAGAAGGATTTGCATCCCTCGGCATATGAACACTGGATAGAAGTCGTGTCATATTAATCTGGACAAGATTATATACACTCTGAAATAATCTGTTGAGATTTTGGGACACTTGGCAGCCATTTATTGTCTTATATTGAGAGTATGTCAATGCCTGTCTGATGTGTTTATGTCTGTGAGGCTGATCTGGGGTGAGAGGGGACTTTGTTGTATGTTTGTTTGTTTGTTTGTGTATATGTTCTGAAAAGGAAAAAAATAAAAAAAAGACAGATTAAATAAAAAAGGAAACAAAGCGTGATACATGACCAAAAAAATATACACATTTACTTTGTTCTTAGCACAAACAAGCAGTCTTCACACTCCCTGTATTTGAAACGTCATTAGTGTGCTCACATGCCATTCACTTGATGTTTATGTTTAGCTGTTGTGAATAAATACCCGTTGACTGATTCTAATCAATTTAGCTTTTTAGTTCAGCTCCAGAGAGAGTACAAAAGGGAGGGTTTGTTATATGGTGGGTGAGTAAAACCCAATGAATGAAATCGATATTCTCTTGCAGGAATCAGATACACCACATTTTACCACCAAGCTGCACAACACATGAAAATATTCTGACACATTTATCATTAGAGGTCCTGATGCAATATGCAAACATACAAATGTCACTGCAGAAATGTAAACCTTGATTAAACTCCCGGCTTACTGCTCTTACCACCGTACCTTTGCTGGAGTCGTCATAGCCGATGTCCCTGATGGTATCTCTGACAACCTTCTGATAGTCAACGCTAGCTCTGGAGGTGATCTCCCCCACAAGCAGGATCATCCCCGTCTTTGCTACGGTCTCTGAGGACAAAATGACATCCAGCCTAAGCGATGAGTCTAAGACTGTGTGTAAAAATGTTCAAGTGATGTGTCTAATCTGAAGTTATTAGTGGCAACAGGCAAATATAAATTAGCTTTGGTAATAAACTTTGTTGTTTCCAACATAAAATCATTTAAATTTGTAACAATAACAGAAAACAACCTTTTCAGTCTGAGATACCTGGAGACAAAGGGAAAGCTCAAAACCTCAGATAAATTGTAAACAATATGTAATTTATACTCTTGGTTCATTTGGGACAAGCTTTCAAAAACCTAAAAGCTTTTAGGGCTTTCATCATCTGCATCTCTGGGATTTTCAGGTATAAAAATTTAATTTAATGGAAGCAGAAAACACACAAAGAGGGCTTTCAGCTTTGAGTATAGCCACAATGATTGCATTGTTTGAAATTAACCTTAATTGCTGCGTAATAATACTTAGAAACATCATAAAACCTCTCAATGCAAAATTTAAAAAAAGGCAAAGAGCAAACTTTGGTTATTTGACCTGCTTCAAATGGAATAATCATGTTTCAACAATGTAGCCCTTTGTTCAATAGCTTTTATGTTCCGTTTCTTTGTTGAAACACTTACCACATGCTACTTTGGCATCAGGGTCTTGTTTCAGGTGAGCGTCCAACACGGCATCACTGATTTGGTCACAAAGCTTATCTGCAAAATATCATTAGATAATTACTAAATTAATTAAAATGCATATGAATTGTGAAACAGAAAGTAAATTGACAAAACAGATATTCATAATTTGTTCATTAAACACATAACACTTGTGTTTATTTTACAATATGGATCAATGTGGCTGAAATAAATAAGTTTACACTTGGACTAAAAAACGAAATAGAAACACATTTTGTACAGGACTATTTTTATGACAACTCTTCTCCAGAAAGGGCATTTTGAAAACATGTTCACACTTACTAACCTGACAGATAAAGTATTTTCTTCAATGATTTGTGATTTAAAACATATTTCACAATTTAAACCACAGCTTCCATTACAATAGTCGCATCATGCTTTTGCACAATGGTGCATCCATCCATCCATCCATCCATCCATTATCTTTACCCGTTTATTCCATTTTGGGTCACGGGGGTCGCTGGTGCCCATGTCCAGCAATCACTGTGTGAGGGGCGGGGTACACCCTGGACAGGTCGCAAGTCCATCACAGGGCCACATAGAGACAAACAACCATTCACTCTCTCACCTAGGGACAATTTAGAGTTACCAATTAGCCTAACATGCATGTTTTTGGTCTGTGGGAGGAAACCGGAGTACCCGGAGAAAACCCACGCATGCACGGAGAGAACATGCAAACTCCACCCAGAAAGGCCCCTGGACCGGGGTTTGAACCAGGGACCTGTTCGCTGAGAGGCAGCAGCTCTACCAGTTGCACCACCGTGCTGCCACAATGGTGCAGTTATTTATAAATATATATATATGTTTACCATTACCTTATCTAAAGTAAGAAGCTGCAGATGCACAGAAAATACATCCAATAATAGTATGAAGCAGCAGTAAAACTTGTGTATCTTGTGTATACATGTAGACTTGACACATCCTCCAGGAAATTTTGAATACCTCAACTCTAACATTAAAAGTTGAATTAATTATATTCACTGTTTTGTAATTACTTGTAAACAACATTTAATCATATTTACCGCACACACTCCAACTAATCCACAGAAACTGTTTCCGTGACTCATAAATGATGCAAATTGTTTACAGTGCTGACAAATCTGTTTTCTAGCATTTAGCAGGTGTTGTGCCGTAAAAAGCACCCCGTAATGCAATCGCATTTCTGATAAAATTGAGCTATTTTCAAATATTACTTGTTTTAAACAACTCTTGACATTTTTTAATTGGTTATCTTTACGATGTAGGGGTAATATCACATTAAATCCATTTTTTAAATTAATGGTATTGAAAACCGGAAGTAAGCGTGTCACTTATGATTTTTTTCCCCGTTTACGTAAAAATAAAGTGCCTCGACCTAGTTGTAATGCGCTTTGACTGGGGTGCTATTTTTGGCACAACACCAGGTGAAGTCGTAGTTTTGTAGTTCGCACGCGCTTGTTTACGTTGAACGCACTTATTGCCTATGTGTTTTAATCTTATTTGGCCGAAGTTTTCTTTTGTTTACGACTTTTTACATCAAATTTCGTGTAAAACAATTGCATGTTGGCTTTAAAAGTTGCCTGTTATGGCTGAATAATCCGCGACAGCTGTACCACGTGATCTTGTTTGACAGAGCCGCTAACCGGATGCTAGGCTAATTATCCAGGTCGTAATAAATAGCACTGCACTTCTCAGCTGAGCAGAAACATATTTAAACTCACCAGGGTGACCTTCTCCGACTGACTCAGAGGTGAAGAGGAAGCAGTCTTCTTCATGGAACAAGTTGTTGTGAAAACCGTTCAGGTGGCCGTTCATCTTAGACACGGTGTGTTAGCAAGCTAACAGGCTAGCAGAGAGGTTCCTGTATTAGATCGCACAGAAGCAGAATTTAAGCGGCTCCTACAACTGCAATTAAAGACTCAACCAGCAGAAGAGACGTCAAAGGACCAGGCAGCTGTTTTTATTAGTCTGAACTCCTCCAGAGTCCAGACCCCCCCTCCAGTGCTTCCTCTACAACCAACTGTTGGTGACCCTGTACCACGTGGTGCTTCATGGGCGGTTCTTCCAGCAAAACAAAAATATCCGAGGAGAAAAGTACACAGCTGACTCTAATGACAGGTACTGACAGTACTTTAAATAGTTTTATTTTAAAACAGTTTGGACTAGAAAAGGTCTGTTGAATATAAATTTTTAGGTTCAAAACATATATATTATATTTAAAAAAAAATTGAGATACAAAAGTATCCAATATTATCTCGTGTGTTTTGGCACTTCTCATAAGGATTTGCTTACAGAGAATTATCAAAAATAGTCATAATTATAAAAAATATTTGAATCTGCCAGTATAATATATATATATATATATATCAGATAATCTCCATAAAGTTTAAAGCTTGAATAAGTCGTATTTAATCTATTTTAGGGAATGCTACAAATGAAATTTCATCCTGAATTTTAATATTTTAATGAATTTTAAGTATTTGTACATGTTTATATTTAAAATCTTTTGTCAAAATATTTTTGACAGAGTAAAGATATTTATTTATTTATTATTCTTTAACCAGGCAAATCTCATTGAGATCACAGATCTCTTTCGCAAGGGAGGCCTGGGCCTGAAGGCAGCCAAACATGCATGTTTTTGATCAGTGGGAGGAAACCAGAGTACCCGGAGAAAACTCCCGCAAGCACGAGAATAACATGCAAACTCCACACAAAGACCCCAGGTCTAACTAGGGATTGAAACCAGGACCTTCTTGCTATACACTTCGTACTATATTTCATCTTCTTTTGCCTCCTCCCATCTTCAGGGGTCACCACAGCAAACTAACTAGCTAGAAGACTTGGTAATTGTTTTAACGCCGGACGCCCTGCCTGACGCAACCACAGCCCTCTGTGTGGAGCAGGGGGCTGCCATCTGGGGCGCCTGGGGGAGCATATGGTGGGGGTTAAGGGCCTTGCTCAGGGGCACAGAGTGGGGCAAATGAAGGTGAAGGCAGGTGTGGGTGCTACACCTTTGCCGCTCACATTTTGATGTCGGCCCGAGGAGTTGAACCAGCAACCTTATGATCACAGGCTCCCCCTTTACTGCATACTACAAGGTTGACTAAAAAACCAGAACAGATTTATACTCGATCAAATGATGGGTCTTGACCCTTGAAATAAAAGAAGCTACTATGCATCTGGCATTAGATGAAACTGTTTCTTTCGGCTGCTCCCTTCTTCAGGGGTCACCACAGTGAGCGAACTCTCATTTGGCAACTTGTTTTATGCTGGATGCCCTTCCTGATACATCCTGGGCTTGAACTCGCAACCCAAGACTTATTGCAGTTTTGCAATAATTATTATTATATGTTGCTTGTTTGTATCATTTCCTGTAATAAACAACTAAAAGCAACTTTGTATAAACTGGATGCAAAGTTTGTGTTTCTCATGGGACTTTATCTCATCTGTGTTATGAAACGTCAGCGTATCATAGCTTTCATGCAGAATAATCCATTTGAAACACATCACGTGTATGCCATGTCTGCTACACATCCTTTTGGATAGATTTGGACATTTTGAGAGGAAAAACAATTCAAAGGAAATGTGCAAATGTTTTAGCCAACTGTAGAATCAACACAAGAAGAGCTGACGTGCATTTTGCCAGGATTGGTTACAACTTTTCGTCCTCTAAATGTTGAAGTCTGAGTAACACCATCACTTATGGAAGTTGAGGGGAGTGCAGACCATATTTAACATTATCTAAGTGTTGGAACATTAGGAGCTGGTAGTGTGACAAGACGTGAGTCAACATACAGTACACATGCACAGTGTTTTTTTTCAGAGAGAAGTAGTGAAGGGTGAGGGAACATAAGTTGGTTTTACAGTTATTTGTTCATATTTTATTTGCACGCTTGCACATTTTAACAATACTCTGTTCTTGATGAAAATCAGCATAAACTCGTTGAACTCTACAGCGCACAAAGCTGCTATCGGTTTAGGATTACTGATCTCATGTGCACGTTGTGTAAATTTCAACGCTGCCTCTGCTTTAGAATAAATGAGCTTATGAATACAGACCTAGTCTTACAGAGTTAAAATAATCAGGTCTAAAAGGACAAAATTCACACACTTAAGTTTAACACTTACACACATCCACACACACGTCCTGCCTCTCTTCTGAACTCTGATCCCGTCAAATCTGGTCCAGGTCATTATATTGATGTGAGACTTCACAAGAATCCATATTTGCTGACTGATATCTGGTCACATCGTCTCCGGTTCACTCAGACATTGAGTTCACATTCAGCTCGTCTACATTATGATATAGTTTCTGAGCCAATTAAAACACTCAACGAGTTTGATCATGTTTTTGACTCACAGATATAAACAGTACAGTAGATGATGGCCGGTTCACAAACAGGAAACTGTAGGGCTACAATGTGGAATGTTCACAAACTACATTCTGTGCTGCTTTTCTGAGCACAGTGACCGTGGAGTCAGATCAGACCTTTAAAAACAGATATTGCTTTTGTCCTCTTTGTTCAGCCTCCTTTTAACTCTTTATGTTCCTCCGTTTGTCCGTTTCCTGCAGCTTCCCGATGTGTTTCACGCCTGTGGGGCTAACCTGAACTGGACTGTGTTCACCTAAGATGGCTACAATCAGGGCCTCAGGTGCGCTCACTCCACTACCCGGAGACACAGGGCTGCGAGGACTGAGGGGGCTGATGGTGGGAGAGGGCACAGCGTCATGGGAGACCAGGCGCTCCTTCTTAGCAGCAGAGCACGGTGGGCGGCTCGGTGCGTGACTCTCTTTGGGGCGAGGACAGAGACTGAGGCTCTGCAGGGCAGGGAGCGGGTTGGCGGAAAGTGCAGGAACAGCTGGGCTGCGGCTACGACGGTGGCGATTGTGGCGTTTGCCCGTTTTAGGGCTCGGACTGCGGGAGTTTGGAGCCAAAAGAACTAAAGTGCTGTCATCTTCTGAGCTGACGTCAGAACTGTCAGAGCGGCACACAGTGGGGCTGTGAGCTGGCATCTTGATCTGTTGAGGGTGGAGGATTGAAGGAATTGTTACTGATAAAAGTATTATCACATTAAATAAAACTAGGGATGCACAATATTGGATTTTTGGCTGATATCCGATATGCCAACATGTTAAAACTTATTTGGCCGATAGCAATACCGATATTTTTTCCCTAAACCTACTTACATAGCTTTCTCTGCTGTGAAATTAAACTACTACATTATTCTGCATGTCTTTGTCAATTTGACCTGCTACCAAATGCAGATGCCAAAAAAGGAGCTGAAAATGATGTAACACTATATACATATGTAATATATATTTAAAAAAACCAGCGCCTTTTATATTGGTGAGTTATTTTGATGGAATGGCCAATGTCCGATATTTAACTTTATCGGTAATATCGGCCGATACCTTGTCGATAATATTGTGCATCCTTAAATAAAATTATTACAAAAATTTTTTAAAAACCATTAAATAAGCTATCAGTAAATGTATTTTCTGTTATAGAATGACTCATGATGGTTGTATTTGGATGTAAGCATAATGTTTTTAAATGGCTGATGATGCCATGGGGGTGCTGGTGGTCCCTTTCTTGATCAAAATATTTTCAGTGTGCAAAAGATCTGATCGAAATTAATCCTAATTTGTCTCACTCCAAAACCTGTGTGTAATGTGTGAATGATGCTGTGTGAGCTAAGTTCCTGCTTAGTTTTTACATCACTACCATTTATTTGTTGTATTTCACATCATATTAGTATTGCTTTTTTTATTATCGCTGCATAACTTTTATAGCAGCGCTTGAAATATTTAACTTAATTACCTTTTAACAGCTACTTTAAAAGCAGTAAATAAGGATTCAAGGATTTTTTTTTAATTGTCATTCCAGCTCACATTTGCATGTTTATGGTACGAAATTCGAATTCAGATCTCAGATCACATCAATAAGAATCAAGTTGTTGATGCATTTTGTGACAAAAAATTCAAAGGAATCAAAAACTGAAACTTGATCATTTATGTTATGAAATACTAATAGATTTATCTATTTTTGGTGACAGAGTGGTGCAGTAGAGCTGCTACCTCTCAGCGAGAAGGCCGCCGTATCAAATCCCGGCCCGCTACCTTCCTGGGTGGAGTTTGCATGTTCTTTCCGTGCGTGTGTGTTTTTTTCCTGGTACTCAGGTTTCCTCTAACAAAAACGTGCACGTTAGGCTGATTAGAAACTAAATTGTGACTAAGTGTGAACGGTTGTTTGTCTTGTTTGTCTCTATGTGACCCTGTGATGGACTGGAGACCTGCCCAGGATGTCCCCCGCCTCTCGCCCAGATAATGAACGGATGGACTTATAGATTATAGAGAAAAGAAATGGATTCTTAAAAACATGCATTTTAGGAGATTGGGTCAGATTTTTTTAAAACTTTTAACCAATTTCAAATTGCAAATCAAATAATTAAAAATGTTGCTGATTATTGAAAATTGCTCATAGCTCAACTTATCGTATGTCCTATAATTTTAAAACAAGACACCAAACAATAAAGTGTGGCACTTTAACAAATACCTAACTCTACTAACTAAATATTTACTATCATATATGAAATAAATATGACCAATACTTAGGCTGGGTTTTTTTTACCTGAAAAGGTGAAGACAATCCAATGATACTGTTTGTAGTATTACTGTAGTAACCCAAGATGTATTCACAATCCTCTCTTGGTAAATCCTCCTCTGAGAAAGTCACCTGATAAATAATAAATCAGTCTCATTCATGCTAAATTCAGCTCCGCTTTAAAATGTATGCACAAACTTCTGAACACACCTGGGTAGCAAGTTCCCCTTTGGCCCACACATACGCCTGATAATCTTTGTGATGTCTGAATCCAACCTGCTCAGTAAAAAATGTTAAATGTGGTGACAATGGGCGACCGAAGCTGCCACACTTTATTTTCAAAGTTACTTAATACCTTGTATATTGCGACCCAGTCCCATGAGCTGCGCTGATATGTTGAAGCCACAGTGAATCTGACCGTAGCGTCTGATGCTTTGCACCACTCCTTAACGGTCTGCAGCTCCACCAGGGGCACAGCCACCCTGAACGGGAACTAGCAGACAGAGACGCAGTTAAATAAAACCTAACGGGGAAATTGAATCTTGAAGCAATGAAGCGATGTTATCTCACATGCAGTGAAAACAGAGCAGAAACAGGCTTGTGGTCACTGATGGTGAAGTCCATGTGACTCAAGTACTTATGCTGTATTACTTTAGTTGCCCCACCCAACCAAGAGGTCAAACCCCGCTGCAGGGATGCATTGTGGGTAGGAACTGGTGAACCTGTGCGGCGGAGGCGCCAGAGGATGCGGTCCGTCCATGCAGGTTTCCTCTTCTTTGCACTGACGGATATGAAGCAAAGTGTGAATTTGTGTTTGAAAATAAATCATCGTAAGAGCGATTTTGTGATGGGGGGCGAACCTGGTGTCATAAGTGTGAGTGCCCACGTCAAATTTGTAGGTAGGTGGAAAGTTGAGAGGCCCCTCCGTGAAGCCCTCCAAGATGGACTCTGTGTTTTTAGCCATGTTGAGCTGTAGATGAGACAAACAATGAGTCTGGATTAGTTTGAGTCGCCTCAACAGAAATAATGTTTAGTTTGGGGCACAGCTCCATCTGTTGGATGTGCTTCTTAACTAACAGACAGGGAAAAAAGAACTTTACGATTTAAAACACCTGAAAGCGCCTCACCTGATCCCGCTCCCACAGAAGAGGCAGCTTGTTACCGTCGATGGCACATTTCACCACGTGGATGTCATAATCTTCAATACGGAAATTCAAATCCCCAAACCAAAACACGACACTGCCAAGACAACAGAAAACGTGTCGTTTCTAAATGATAAATCATGAACATGTCAAGACAATTTGAATGGAACAAACAGGTTTAATGTTAAACATATGTGGGCAGTGGTGTAGTCTATGCGATACGCAGATATACGGAGTATGCCCACTAGAAAAGCTTAGGAATTTCAGTATACTAATTTAAAAGTGCCCAATGATACATGACATGTGTCATTGGTACATTAAACAGTAGTTAAACGCTTCCGTAAGAATCTACTAAATGCAGCGCTTGTTTATTACATTTGCTTATCCAGCGAATTATTGTATACCGTAATTCTGTATTTACTACTTAATACTTGAACATGTTTTGCTTTGATACTGTTTTATAAATTCTATAACATGTTTTTAATACAAAGGCAACTCTTGTACAAAGTTTGTTGTTCATTTATTCAAATATAAGCATCAGAGAAATTTGGAAATGTTCAATATGCTTAAAAATCCAAATAAATTGATGATTACATTGTACTAACCAGTGTACTTTGGTTTCTAAGCACAGTATGCCCACTACAAAAACGTAGACTACACCACTGTATGTGGGGTTTGATAACCTTGGAAAAAGTTGCAACTTCTGGTCCAGAAATATAAAGTCAGGATCTTTTTTTGTTTGTTTTACTGTTAAATTAAACTTGGAAGTTATGAAGTTATCTGAAAGAAAAAGGACAATAATCTCGCATACATCAGCTTGTATTTTTTAAAACCATAAAATAGTTGATAATTGATAGATCTTTGCCACCTATCCAAAACCAAATTGTGGAGGAGGTCAGTGTGTTTTATAAAGGAAAGAAATAAAAGCTAACCACATCTTTTTCTGGTTTAAAATGGTAGTAAGTGTTCAATTAGCTGTATGTGCTTCTCTGAACTTCTGTTGTAGGTATGGTAGGCTCTCGTTATGCGTTTGGTGTATTTATGTCTTCGTCTCTGCAGACATGTATCCTTTAGAATAAGAGGGGAGGAGTGGAGTCTCACTTTGCCTCCTGAAGCCAGCAGCCAAGGAAAGAGATCTGGTGAAAACAGTCCTGTTGAATTAAAGCCTGTCATAAATATTCCTTTAGGAGCTAAAGAAGAATGTCTCTGTTAAAAGAAAAATAGTAATATCACTTAAGTACATTGTGTCCTGTAAGATTTAGTAGTATAATTATTACAATATGTAATTATTTCTGTGTTATGTCTAAGACCTGCATTATCTTTTATTTCTAAATGGATATTTTTCCGATAAAGTCACCCACTCATGGTCCAGTACACCAGTGGCTGCGCCTCCTTCAAACTGCTGCTGCTGAAGGATGCTTTCAAAGTCCTCCATCCGCTGCTCCAGGTTCCTCATGTGAGCCGGCAGGTGACAGTTGAGAAAGCACACAGGGTGACCGAACATTGTCATTCTCGCGCTAACACCACCTTTATTGCCCTAAAAATGATGACAGGACACGTGCAAACAGTGATGTGACAAAAGCATTTCCTATATGAAAAACATTTTCTTTTTTTAAAGATCAAGGACAAGTGGAGTGCATCGGTCAGATCTGTGTTCAGGGACGGGGTAATTATTTTTTCAGAAGCAGAGAGCCAGACAGTCTGCAGCTGCACTGACCTCAAAGAGAAGGAGACTGCACCAACAGCAGCCAGGAGGTGATGCTGACATCAACACACACTGAAGGTCACACACACACCCACGCCTGCATGCACCTGCCGGCAGGGGGTAGGGAGCTCATACTACTGTATTTTCTGCCGTATATGTTGCTCTGATGCATAAGTCGCATCAGTCCAAAATTGTCAAATAAAGTGGAAAAAAAACATAAATAAGTCACTTCGCTGTACAAGTCTCATTTATTATGCGTCACCGCTGACAACCCGGAAACGTGGGCCGGTGTTGTGGCAAAAATCAACTGGCTGCCAAATGGTGGCCGCAGGAACGCACACGGGAGGACATTAACAAGAATTTAACAAGATTAACGCTTAAAAACAATTATTTATTTGCTTGACATTATAGCAAAAATGTGTCTCAGTTTAACTTTTTCTTAATAAACGCACTTTAATGGTCAAAACAGCTTAATTTCTCCTGGGTGCTGGAGCCTTCATCCCTGCTCCGGCAGCGGAGTGGGTGGGTGGGTGGATGGATGGATGGATGGGTGGGTGGGTGGGTGTTGCACCCCAGCGGAGGAAATGCGCCAGGTGGGAGCCAGACACAAGGGGAATGTTCCTCGCAAGAGAGGATCCTTCGCTGCCATGCGGCCGTCCCTTCTGCCGGGTTGAAACCCACTGGGAAGACTGTGCGGACCTGAACAAACTTTCTTTCATTTGTGTGTGTGTATACACTGTTTTGTTCATATTACATATATTTTGGACTAAATGTAAATAAAAGCAATGACTTGTGGCCCCAAAGGGAAATAAGGTACCCAAAGGTGACTTTAACCTGTTTGTGTATATGTGTAAAACTAAAGTCCCCAAATGGATATAAGGTAACCAAAGGTGACTTGAAACTGTTTGTGTATCT